ACTTTGTGTGTGTGTGTGTGTATATATATATATACACACACACACACACACAAAGTATGTTTACATATGCATAAAAAACAATAAGTAATAAATATGTACATAAAATTGTTTGTAAAAATCCAAAATAACAGAAGACTTTTCATTCTTAATTATCTATAGCCCTAAGCTTCATTTTTAGGAGACTGCACAACATAGGTTTCATTAACACGCCCCAAAAAATAAACATATCGCAAAAATTCCGAATTATAATTTCATTTAACTAAACTCTCGCGACATGCCTAAGCAAAAAAATAGATGAAGAACTTGTTTCAACAATAAACAACAAACAGAACAGTACGAGCATAATCCCCTCTCTCTCTTTCTCTTTTTCTTTCTTTTTATATTTTTGATTATATTTTTGATTAACATTACTCCGCGTTTAACCAGCACGATTACCTTCATCTGGCCAATTCTTGTTGCCGATGAGTGAGGAAAACGTTAAAACCGCGGATGTCCGTCATATGCTTGGGATAATACCGAGTTGCATTCACAACCGCAGGGAACTATCCTGCACTGCCCTAGCTATGGAAGAGCACGAGCAAGCTGGTCACGGATCGTCTCCTTAGCGTCGAGTCAACGCTCGGTCAACCTCGCTACTTTGTTTAGCGTCAAGTAGAATCACGCGGCCGATGTTATTGTTCACCGAACGACATCAGAGGATCAAGACGACACGATTCCGGATCGAGTTCAATTGCAAAACCCGTATCATCTGTATATGCATACACTACACACAACTACGCAACACAAACACACACACACACACATACACACACCACACATTTACGCACTGCCACATACATATCACATATGTATATGTAATACACATGCGCACGCATGCGCACTCCACTTCCAGTTTGCGTAATTGCACGAACATACTTTTGTAGGCCTGTTCTTTTTAGCTGAACTTCTGACACGATTCATCTTTCTTCCTTTTCTCTCACGTTGGAGAAAAAAAAGAGAAAAGATAAAACGTGCAAAAAGCTGAAATGCTAAAAAGAATAGGGAGTCGATTGTGTATCTCGAAATGAGATGAAAATTAAAAAGTGAGCAAATTCATCTAATAAATGTGCACACTTTTGTAATTTTCACTTCATTCAAGATACATCGATTCCCAGGGGTGCGATTCCCTGTAACTGTTTTTACACGCCTACCAACAATTATCGTTGCGCAGATATTTTATATGGTGAAAAAGCTGCGTAATGACAACTGTCGATAGACGTGTAAAACAGTTACGGAATCGCGCCTCATATCAATCATGAAACTTTTTTCGTACGATGAAAAATAAAAGTGAAAAATTTTTCCATCAACTTCAATGGTTAAAATTTTGATTTTTCACTTCCATCTTAAGAATAAAATTTTATGATAGATACTCAGCCTTATTGAATAAAGGATACGGTTAACGCGATGCTGTAAATGTTTTGAAGCGGTTTTTAATTGGTTTGCATTGCAAAATTCTTTCTTCTAATTGGTCCATCAAATGCTTCAAAGCATTTGTAGTGAGACTTTGATCACAACTAAAATCACATCATACAGTTGCATGATAAAATCATGTAATTAAAACTGTGGTCAAAGTTTCGCTACAAATGCTTTAAAGCATTTAATGGATCAATTAAAAAGAATTTTATAAACTAATCAATTAAAAAACGCTTCAAAACGTTTGCAGCATCGCATTGACCGTACTGTAAAACACATAAACCATATAATGGATTGTTCCAAATCAGTACGTGATTTTTTAAATTACGTAAATTGAAAAGTCACATGATAATATGTTCTTTTTTCCTCTATTTCTATCATTCAATTTCTTAAAATTTGACAATTATAAAAGCACATGATGAATTAAATTATTTCTAATATCATTTTTAAATTCATTATAAAAAATCACGTACTGATTTGGAACAGTTCGTTATGTGACTTGCATGTTTTGTTACATGATTTTATCATTACATGTAATATCATGACATGATTTTTTTTATGAGTAAGGAGGCTTCTTGTTGATTGCAATTGCCCATTACCAATCACAATGACTTTTGTGAAGTTTTTCTTTATTTTTTTTCTAGCGTTATAATTGGCAGTGCGCAATTAGCTCGCGTGCAATGATATATATCTGAAGAAAGCCAGATGGATGTCTATACTGAGTGCTTTCCATTTAATGACGCAAGTCGTTCTAATAGTCGTTATAAGTTTGTTCGTGTTTCATGCTCCAACATGCTCCAATATGCTCCTATCATAACTCCTTACTCCAATGCACTCATAAAAAAAAAATGAGTAGAAACCATGACAGAGGTAATGGTTTCGATTCTGCACACTAGACGCGGAAATGCTTGCCACGTAGTAAAATGTAATGCGGTAGCCAATGAACATGTTAGGAGTTGTCTTATTGGCTATCACATCATATTTTACCGCGCGGCAAGCGTTTCCGCGTCCAGTGTGTAGGAGCCAGGCTTAGTTTCCGCTGAGAGTTTAATTCGGATCAGAACGTAAGAACAACTAATAGTCGAGCATTCCCCTGTCGCATTCGACTGTAATAAGGAAAATGACTGTTGATTGATTTTTAGGCCGAGTTTTCACACCTTGACGGAAAAATGGAAAGCGGAAAAGAGGAAGCCAATCAGAACGGAAAGACAGAAGCAGACAACCAAAATGTACCGCCTACTATTACTATTAGAGTTCCGATTGACTTCCGCTTTTCCGCTTTTCTGTCAAAGTGTGAACTCGGCCTTACATTCTCCGGATTAAACTCTCGGTGGAAACTAGAGGTTTGTTTGCTCCAGTTTGTTCCAGATAACACGTGTGCGGGTAGCACAGATGCTATATGTAACACGATTATATGAACCAAATATCGATTTATTTTATTCAGCCTTGAAAAGTGGACGATGTATCCTAAGAAAAATGGACATTGCTATGTAATTTATATCCACTTTATCAGAGGGCAGTAGTGCAGCAACATTTTGTAGTTACAGATTTTGAGTCGTCATGTCCTCTCTCAGGTTTCTCTCTGATAAAGATATATGCAACTATTATATATGATAATATATTCATTTATCAACACGAATTA